GGGGGGGAGAAAGAGATAGATAGAATTAATTCAAGGGAATAATTGAATCTTTTCGAGTAAATTTCTCGATCTTGCTTTTACACAAAAAACCAACAACACCAACGACATCAAAATCCCACAAAACACCGACTGTTTGAGAGATGGATATTAAACAGAATGTAGAAAGACATTATGCTTAACACAATTTTGAGACAAACTTTTAAATGGAGGACAAATTAGCTCCAAAATAAAGAAGACTGACTGCTCTTGTGCCGAAATAATATCATATAAACATTATATTATTACATATAGATATCCGTATATAATACATAGATTATGCACGTTGTCAAACATTGTATTTTCCCTTTATTTACACTGATGAACATTATAGTAATTCATTGTGCTTTGTTTTTTATGCTTGCACATTTTAAAAACATTACAGTAGTATAATAATGTAATATAATAATTAGTAGGTCATTGTGTATTTATTTTCTCCCGTTTGTCCACAGTGATGGACAGTATTCAGATGCCGGCGAGGAAGACCTGGGTCACGCGATGGGTCAACTACAAACGCTACCTCTGTATGGCCTTCTGTAGCAAGCCCATCTCCAGACGGTGTAAGTAGTCAGAATACAATTGTGAGGCAGTGTGGAGGAATCAGGCTCTCGTCAATTTCGCGGCATTTAGAATTATTGGTATCATCTTAAAGCTTGTTTACTTGTCTTTATTTGGATGAAAATAATATTCATTTATCTTGAATAAAAGTCGAGATATTTGCAAATGAAGGAGGTGTGGGTCACCTGTTTTCAGAGATAAAATTAGTGAAAATATGCCGGGCAAATATTAGTTATTTCCTTAGCTTAGGTTCCGTGGTAACTGAAAATTTACTTTTTTGTGCCTTAAATCAACGATTTTTAGAAAAATCTACACAGAAATATGTTCTTTATTGGGCCTGAAAGGTGTTGAGCCAAAAAACATATTGATTTTAAAAATTCACAAACCTGCGGAAAAATGCAAGTTTCTTCACTTTGATTATTTTGACGAGAGCCTGATATCACCACGCTGCCTTACAATTATTCTTTAAACGTGGGTATTTTTACGCCCCTACCAACACAATTTAAATCTTTTTATAGGCGGGTTTTTTACCCTGCCATTCAGAGCCAACCAGGTGAATAGGATACAACATCTCAGCAGATTAAAAAGGATTCTTAAAAAATCATATTTCTCCCCACTCTGGAATCGAACTCGGTGTTTTTACGTCCAGATCGACAAAATCTAGGTAATTAAGGAGGCAGGCATCCGGCTTTGCTTGTCAAACTCAACCCCGGTTGAGAGATAAACATTGTCCTAGAAAAAAGACAGAAACAATTGATACAAGGTCTCCCCACTCGGTAATCGAACTTTGGTCCGTGGCGTGTGACTGCGAATTGTCTAGCCGCTTCACCACATACGTCAGCTGAGGGTCTGTGATGTCGTGGTATATTACTATTGTCTGTTTTCGTCAGGTGACTACCTGTATACAGTTTAACCCTATATCTCTGGCAAAATGCATTTCTGTTACTCACCACAGAAATAATACATTTTCTACATCTAGCTCTATCTTTTAAAATCTTAAAATGTGTATTACTAGATCTTTCAAACACACAGCTCACGATTTTCTTTTCAAGAACTCCTAAATTGAAAAATGAAAGCGAAAGTTTTTGGTTTTTTTAAAGTTGATTAAATCCTTTCATTTCGAACAAAAAGACCTAATAACCACCACATACTGCCCAAGGGTCTCCATTTGTATTTCACAAGAACTGACTCTCTAAAACTGGTAATTAAGAATTAGATTTTAATAAGCGAAATCAAAATACTGTGACTGATAAGAGGATGGAAAATTTGAAATCATTGTATTTAATTTGGGTTTTGGTACATAATGAAAAAATACGTTCGTTTATTTCATGTTAAAGACGAACAGGTCCGAAGGCAATGTGAGCATATTGTACAAGCGCGGGTGAGAATAGCTGAACAGAGACTTAGAAAGTGATCATATTATTTTGCACTCACAAAATTTTGATTAAAAAAAAACAACTTAAAAACACAAACCAACAATTTTCAGGATAGAAGAAAAAAAAACTTAATAACTTTCTAGATCATTAGACGCATCTGTTTTGGATGAAGATTAAAACTAGAGCTTTGGTTCCAACTGAAAATGAACTTCCAAATTATCCTTTAAATATAATCATTTACAGAATAATCAGGTCAAAGCGTCTAGCCGTTATAATGTTTAAAACCCTACGGACATTGACCCAGGAGCTAATGACGTTTGTGTGAGGCGCTTCACTGTCGCACGCAGAACAAAGTTTTGTTCCCGATTTGAGAGAATATGTGTCAAGACGTGGTGGAATCAGGCGCTCGTCAATTTTCCGACAAAAGGAGTTCTGGTATCTAAATCGTGTTCACTTGTCTTGCTTTCGATGAAAAAATTACCCATTTATCTTTAATAGAATTCAAGATATGTCGAATTGAGGTAGGTGATGTCACAAAAGTAAAATTTGATAGAAAATGGCCGCCAAAGTTTGGCCACTTCCAAAGCTTGAGAGTCATTGGAAGCAAAAATTTGTGTGCCTTTAATCAACAACTTTCAATAAAAAGCCACTCAGCAATATGTTTCTAGATGGACATAAAAAGTGTTGAGCAAAAAGAATAAAAATTCATTTAAAAATAGCCAGATTTGGAAGAAAAATGACGTTCTCTTCTGTTTCATTATTTTGACGAGCGCCTGATTTCACCACCATGCTTCACATTTTGTATTGGGTACCTCGGTGTTGGAGGTGAGACGTTGTATCGCGAGATGTACGTTTGAAAGATCAAGACAGGCAGGATCTGTTCTTTTCTATGGAGGTGTAAAATTAAACTTCATTATAAGAACCTGAGCTGTCTGTCCGTCCGTCTCAACACTATGCACAGACTCTGGTGTTGTCTATCTTGTATTCTAAACAAGGGAATATAGGTATGTACTTCTGAGAGAGAGAGAGAGAGAGAGAGAGAGAGAGAGAGAGAGAGAGAGAGGGACGGCAAGAGAGCGAGAAAAAGAGACAGAGAGAGAAAGAGAAAGAAAGAGACAAGTTTCTACATTTACCTAATCCGAGGCCAATAAAGAAGCCTGTGAGCAGTGGACTTGCACTTGAAGCTTTGAGAAATTAAGCAGCTCAAAATGAGGCGATACTCGCCTCTACCCTTATTTTTTTACCCTAGAATTGCACTACAAAGTTTTATCTGACATTTGATTTTTTGGCAGGTTAAGTTACCCAGACCGTGAGGTCAGAAACCTTCATTGATCTTCTGTCTGCTCTATCAGAATGGTATGATTATTTCGAGTCGTTTTCAAGATAGTCAAAGAATTGCATTCGAAAAAGCTTGAAACTTAATTTTTTTCGCGTCAAATTTCCCCAAAGCAGATACTTATAGAACTTTAGTTTTAGTTTAGTTTTAGTTTTAGTAGAGGTTTTACGGCACTCAAAACTGCATAAGGTCATAATATGAACGCCAGAAGATTAGAGGTGTTACAAGAGAGTAACATTCATTAAAAAGAAAAAGGGGAGATAACAAACGATAAATGTTTGATAGGAAAGAAGAAGCAAACCACACGAGAGCACCCGCCAACCACCCAAATGTAGAACTTTGTAATTTTAAGGTAGCGATTTGTCTAACAGAACACAACAGAGGCAAGAAATCATCATAGACCTTATTTATCCTAGTTCCTTGTAAGATAAATATTCTCCTCTGCAGATACAATGGGTGTGGCGTCGGTAGCCTAGTGGTTAGGCTACCGGACTCGTAATCATGAGATTGCGGGTTCGGGGGTTCGAGCCTCAGCTGGGTCCGACGTTGTATCCTTGGGAA